TATCAATTTGTAAACAGAGGACTTTTGGTCTCTGCAAGTCCTTGAAAAAACATTTTTATACTGAATAGCAGGGATTAGCAATTTTTTTTATGTCAGCAGGCACCATTGCACTATTGTGTTCAGTATCATTCATTTAAAAATTAGTTAAAAAATAAATGCCTTTTTTAAAGGCCAATGTTTTGTAAAATCTCACACAAAATTGCAGAAATATTGTTATGCAGCAGTTTAGGTGCTTTTACTTAATTATTAAAATGGGGGTTAGTGAATACATGTTATGAATGCTCTGTATACCAGAATTAAAATATTAAAATATTAAATGAATAGACCAAACCTACAGTATAGTGAATACTTCATAAAAGCCATTACTGTTATCAATATCCTATAAGGAGATGAAATCTGAGAACTAATTTCTCATTAATTTTCCTTCTAATCCAGCAAGTGATATTCTGAGATCCATAAAGTTAAATGCAATCAATCATGTTAAACAACAAAACAGAATTAGTCAGGAGTCCTTTTCACTCTAAAAAATAAAAGTGATTTTATTTTAGAAGCCAGAATTTGCTCACCATGAACATAATCTCATTTAGTTTACATTGATTATTTCCCAAATAAAGGTATAATCCAGCCCATGTCAAGAAAATTCATTTAAGAATGTTAATTGAGTCTATCCCATAAAATAAACTGATGTAACTTTCTTTGATTTCAACTGCATGTATCTGGATCTTTTTACATACAAAATTAAGATGGGTAATAGTAATAGTAGTAAAGTTGGAAGGGACCTTGGAGGTCATCTAGTCCAACCCCCTGCTCGGGCAGGAAACCCTACATCTAGTCCAACCCCCTGCTCGGGCAGGAAACCCTACACCATTTCGGACAAATGGCTGTCCAGTCTCTTCTTAAAAACTTCCAGTGTTGGAGCATTTACTGCTTCTGGAGGCAAGCTGTTCCACTGATTAATTGTTCTCACTGTCAGGAAGTTTCTCCTTAGTTCTAGGTTGCTTCTCTCCTTGATTAGTTTCCACCCGTTGCTTCTTGTCCTGCCTTCAGGTGCTTTGGAAAATAGCTTAATTCCCTCTTCTTAACATTGGTGATCTTAAGGGTGATCTTAACATTGTCAATATTTCCCCCAATTGGTTCAATCTTCGAAAAGCAGTAGTGCTTTTAAATCATTCTAGACTCTGGATCGAATCACCTTAGCAAGCTCTCCTTTTCACAGCACAATGTGCATTGTTTTACTAATATCGAAATGTGATAAATACAGCCTTAGGGTTTTATTTCCCCAAACAATGCTCTAACAGCATGGTTTATAAATAGAGTCCATGGCTACCCTTTTTCAGATCAGGTGCATGTGACACAAGCAGGCTTTGATTTGAAAATCAAGTGGGATCCAAAGAAACACAATACTTTCTTTGATCAAGGTGCTGTTAAGCTTGACAATCCAAGCTGTCCTTTAAAGTTATCTACTGCCAACTTCAGGCTCTGGTCTCGTCAGAGAGAGTCTCAGTAGGACTTCTTCCATCAGATAGAAAAGCACCAAATCAATTGTCCAGGAAAATATCCTGTATTATGGCGATTACTTCTGGCAGAATAGTTCCATTATTGATAAGCTTTTCAAGAATAGTGTTTATGAATCTCCCCCCATCCCACACCCCCAGGTTTCCCAGAAAGAAAGAGAGCTTTGCAAATTACAATTCCTAACAAACTGTTATTGAAGTAGTACCAGTCATGTTGAGCTTGGTGAGCATTTTTTTTTAGCTCTGATACTGAATTTATATATTATTCTCAAACAAGATTTCAGGAAAAGACATAGCTGAGCATCTCTGTAGCATAGTAGATTGCACGTAATTTAAACTATGTAGGACAGATCAATTAATTAGGTTGATCTGAATGTTATATCAGTCTAATTCCTGGGATCTGAAAATAACCCCTAACATAGCACTGCTCCAAAATTGTGGCCCAGTTCATATACTGTAATAATCAAGTGATTGTATAAGGCAAATGCCTCTTCAGACACTGCATAGATCTGTGCATGGGAAAGTCTTGCTTTCTTACTGACCTCTGAGTCACTGAAAAATACTATTTTGAAAAATGATGAAAAACATTTATGTAAGCTAGTTTTTATCTCATTTGGGAAGAGATTACAGGCGTTCAGCTTCAAAATGCAATTCTGTTCCCATGGTTTATATTTTTGCATATAAACTCTTTCTTCTTACTTATTTTACGAAATGATCTTTTGTCACCTTCTCAATTATTATTTTTTCAGACAGCCTTCTGCAAGCTTCCATTTCTATGTGAAATTTCATTTCGATTTGAAACCTATTAAAAAGATGTGTCCAAGGGAATATGATGGATTTTTTTCAAGGTAACAAATTTTATTAAATGACATAAGCTTTTAAGAATATGTTTCATTTCATCAGAATGAAAGGTTATGACTTTTAATGACATATGTCATCCTGAAAAGGATATCCCAGACTCTGCCTGGTTTTGGGGTGTCATAGACCAGTGGTTCTCAACCTTTCTAATGCCGCGACCCCATAATACAGTTCCCCATGTTGTGGTGACCCCCAACCACTTATACATCACCGGGTGCCAGGGGCGTGGCCAAAGAAAAGAGGGAAAAAATGGCGGACAGCCTTGTTTGGCGACCCCCGTGAAATGGTCGTTTGACCCCAAATGGGGTCCCGACCCACAGGTTGAGAACCACTGTCCTAGACAAACATAACTCGCCTCCTACAATGTGTAAAAGATCTATGGAATTTCAGGACAAAATAAAAATCACAAAAGTGACAACTACGCTTGTTTCAAGGAGTTAATTCAATCCATTTTGTACCTTTCCCCTTCCTAGTAACTAGCATCAGAAATCCCTGGTGCAACTGATAGATGGTTTTAAAAGTATAACAAACCATTTTATTTATTTATTTTTATTTATTAATCAAATTAAACAAAGGTGACTTTGGGTGGCACACAGCAGGCAGAAACAACAACAGATATAAAAACAACAGATATTAGAAAAAAAATACAAAAATCCACATTTTTGTGGATCCACACTCCAAGGAACTTTACCAGCTCTCGGCATCAACAGGGTAACCACCTCCCCATTACACTACAACACTCATCCAAAGGCACCCCTCCCCTGCTGCTCCCACCATCCTTCCCCCACTCAACCTTGCCAGTTTCTCCTCCAGTTCTTACCCATAAGAAGGGAATCAACATACTTATACTAATTAGCATCCAAAGACATTCCTCTCCCGCTGCGGAATGGACAACTTGCTGTAGTTAACTTGCCACAGCCAAATTCGTCATCCATTCAGTCCCCCCCATCCAATCCTGGTTCTCATCCCAAGGAAGGAGTGCACAGTGAGAAACGCATGGACCACTTCTGTGCATAGTCAAGGAAGAGAGACTGAGATGAGATTATAGCATCTGTGCCTCCCTTTCACCTGGGTTTTCAACACTTGAAGGGATTGTGTAAAACTGCTAATTATGAAGTAATTAAGAACACTGTAAACAACAAGAAGTGCAACCACAAGGTATGATCACTATGAGTGCCTGAGTTTTCCTAAAAAGTCTGATTTACAGAAGTAGCATTAAACCAGTGGTTCTCAACCTGTGGGTCAGGACCCCATTTGGGGTCAAACGACCATTTCACGGGGGTCGCCAAACCATGCTGTCCGCCATTTTTTCCCTTTTCCCTAGCTGTCCTACTCTCTCTTATTGGTGGCCACACCCACTTGGGGGTCACCACAACATGGGGAACTGTATTATGGGGTCACGGCATTAGAAAGGTTGAGAACCACTGCATTAAACAGAGGCGCCATCACAGCAAACTGATTTTTTTACAATTGTGTTGGTAGAAACAGAACTCTGACCTAAACAAAGAGATGGCCACTTATGCACTTCTAAATTGGAGAAATGCTCAAGGTTGTGCTATGCTAGCATTAAATAGAAAATGCAATATATGTTTCTAAACTATACTTACCTTCAAGTTTGTATATGAAATGAAGGATAAAGCTTATACCCTTGTTTCAGTTGTTTAGGATGGTGAACATTTAATGTGAAACATAGTAATTTATTTCTAAATCTTAATCCTGGACAAAATATGCTTCACCAAATACACTTTATGCTAACTGTATCTCCCATATATTTTTATGTTTCTCCTAGTATTCATGCTTTTAAAAAATAATTCTTTAGAAGATACAGATAGTCCTCAACATACGACAATTTCTGTTCCTAAATGAGACATTTGTTAAGTGAATTTTATTACCTTTCTTGCCACAGTGAATCACTGCAGTTGTTAAGCTAGTAATATGGTTGTTAAATGAATCTGGTATTTCCATTGACTTTGCGTATCAGAAGTTCAAAAAAATGATCACATGACCCCAGAACACTGCAACCATCATTAAAATGAGTCAGTTGCCAATCATCTGAATTTTGATCACGTGACCATGGGGATGCTGCAACGGTCATAAGTGTGAACGATCATAAGTCTCTTTTTACAGTGCCGTTGTAACTTTGAATGGTTGCTAAACAAACTATTGTAAGTCAAGGATTGGCTGCACTATTACTCTTAATGGAGAAAAGTGGATTAGCTTTTAGTGTCCTTTTAATTTGCTGTATGCAGTCTGAAATTTCTGAAAGGAGTCTTGTCCAGATCAAATCTGTGGCTTGGGCAAAGAAACTGTCTTGAGAAATTCCTCTTAATATCCCTTTCTATGAATATGAATGTCAGTTTTTTTTTACAAAATAAGAAATGTTGGACAGCGGATACCGGAATATTGCTTTTGTGCAGAGTCATAGAAATAATTTTCTGATGCATTTATAATGTTCTATGGAAAAGTCTGACAGAAAATGTGACTCACTCCAAATTCACTTTCATTCTTTTTGGAAGAAACACTTTCAGACAGAGATAGTTCTGATATATATATTTTCCCTTAATATCATCCAGGTTCCCTCTTGGAGTCAAGAGGACACCAGCATAATATAAACAGAATCAAACTCACGCCAGTCGTGCGCCACAGTTTTCTCCTTCAATATCGCCTCCAGCCACATTGTCGGTGTTAACAGATTCTGTCTCACTGGTGGGCATGCTCACTGCAAGGGTCAGAAGAAAGAAAGAAAAAAATAGATAGTTGGTAATTTGTCAGTCTTGCATAAATGAGCTTCACTATCAGCAAAAGCACCGGCTTAGCAGAAAGGCGCATATTAAATATGAAGAGGAAGCACGAGCAAGTGAATGGAGTTTTAAGATTCAGTCCTACAGTGTGTGATTGAAATAAAAATCTCAGATAAGGCATGTAACCTCCAGAAACTGAAACAAATCTCAATTGTCAGTTTGTACGTACAATATGTGTGTATACACACACGCGCGTGCGCACACACACACATAAGCACAGACATGCACACACGTATACACATACAGGTAGTTCTCATTTACCAATCGTGATTGGGACCAGCAAGTCTGTCACTAAGCAATGTGGTTGTACAGTGCAATATCACATGACTGCTGCCATGGTTCCGATAGGTGAAACTCTTCAAAAGAACTTCAAGGCATTGTTTACCTTAAAGAAACTTTTATTCGAGAAACAAAGTATCGGCACTACATAGTTGAAACCAGAAATTAAATTTCCCTCCCCTGGATACAAAGTAATGAAGTGCAATTCCCTCCTCCAATAAGCAGTCATAAATCACATTCCCCAATTGCCTTGAAGCACGGGCTTTCTCCTCAGCCCTCCAGCCCGCCAAAACACTATCAGCTCTGGGTCCAATGTCTTTGGGTTCCCACAATTAAGTTATTATTGTTATGACTAGCTGGACTCTCATCCCTATTCCCCCTCCCAGCAGCAACTAATTCTAAAAGCAATAGAGAAAATGGCTGCATTTCCATCTGTTGTCAAAGCAAGAACATTCGATGTTAGCAGCGTTGACAACTGCACTCAACTTACAACATCAGCTCTGTTGCTAAGCAATGTGATCATAAACTGAAATGTCTCATAGTGATTGCATGATGACTACACCTTTAAGGACTGATTAAAAGTCTGCATTTCAATGCCATCGGTAGTAATCGAGGACTACCTGTATGTTTTGAGATCTGGGTATTTAACACACTGTCCAGTTGCACAGTTGACGACTATCTCTGATTGTTGACTCTTATGAGTTGCAAGGATACAGCCTTCCCAATGATAAACTTTTTCTTCAACTATATCAGCACCTTATGACTATTCTTTTGGCATCTTTTCTGCTGAACAATGATATAAAGGTATCCATCCATCCATCCATCCATCCATCCATCCATCCATCCATCCATCCATCTATCTATCCATCTATCATGTCAATACCATATACAGTGTTTCTCAACCTCAGTCACTTTAAGATGGGTGGACTTCAACTCCCACAATTCTCCAGCCAGATTTACTGTATAGGCTGCACTGAAGAATTGCAATGATTTAACCACTAGTGTTTCTCAACCTTGGCAACTTTAACATGGATGGACTTCATGGCTGGCTGGAGAATTCTGGGAGTTGAGGTCCACCCGTCTTAAAGTGGCTGAAACTGAGAAACACATCACATATCATGCACTTCACTGTCTTTTGTTTAAGAATCTTATAAACTATTTTACAAATTACAGGCTAGATATTATTATATTAAAGGAACAAATAGCACACAAATCTATGATAACAAGAGATAAGGTTCATGTTGAATTCTGGGTAATTAAAACAAGACTCATTCCAAATTTCTCTTACCATTCAAATTATCTTTGTATCCGCTGCCCACCCATGGCTTGTGCCCAAATGTGCCTCAGGTGGTTTGTGCCTCCATCCCATAGGAGAATGGTTTGACCAATAAAATCAGTGCTTCATGTTACAAACTTCAGAAATTAATCTATTCTCATATTTTCCTGTATATTTCTGTTTTATTAAAACAATGTAGCATAGATGAAGGTGAACATCTGGACACTTCAGAAAACATCCTATTTGTGGCTGAAACGAGTAATGTATTGTTCTGTACTTGCTAATTTGAATAGGGCAGGCCACGCCACATGCATTTAATTCACAATGTAGGTGTGAAGCTTAACTGCAAGAAAAGAGATTAAAGGATAATTCATAAATCTTTATGAATATGTGTGTACCATCTAGAACAGTGATTCTCAACCTGTGGGTCGGGAGCCCACTTGGGGTCGAACGACCATTTCACGGGGGTCGCCAAACAACGCAGTCCGCCATTTTTTCCCCCTTTTCCTTAGCTGTGCTACTCCCTTTTATTCTATTGGCTTTTGAAAGCCAATAGAATAGACTCTCTTGAATAGAGTCTAATTCTATTGGCTTTCAAAAGCCAATAGGAATTGTCCAGGTTGTCTCTGCCCTGCTGAGCCCGCCAAAAGTCCCATTCTGCAAACGGTGCTGCATCAGTTGAGTAGTCCCCGACTTACGACCGGCTGAGTAGTCCTCGACTTATGACTAGTTGGGGGTCGCGGCATTAAAAAGGTTGAGAACCACTGATTTAGAAGCTACAACTGCAGGTAAGACAAACTATATGTTCACTATTCTGCAAACTGGATGATCCCCTCAGCTTATGATGAGCCTATGGAATGAGCTTGTTTGCAGTTGAGTTCTTCATGAGTAATCTATAATGCCCAGTAAAACAAAGGTGACTATTTCGCTTCAGTAAGTTTCAAAGTAAACTCTAGTCTGCTTTTCTGAAAGATTTGCATGGATTTGTTCATTTAACACAGTGGTTCTCAACCTGTGGGTCGGGACCCCATTTGGGGTCGAACGACCATTTTACGGGGGTCGCCAAACAAGGCTGTCCGCCATTTTTCCCCCTTTTCTTTGGCCACGCCCCTGGCACCTGGTGATGTATAATAGGTTGGTGGTCAACACAACATGGGGAACTGTATTATGGGGTCGCGGCATTAGAAAGGTTGAGAACCACTGATTTAACAGAACAATGTCTTCTTTTCTTCACTTAAAACAGGACAACAAATAATGCCATTCTGTAGCTGATACTATGTCAGAAAGCAACCTATTTGGCACCTCTTGAAAACCAAGATAAGTGCTCTATCTTTCCTAAATATTAGAGAGTTGAATAGATGTGAAAAGTAACATCCTGTTGGTGGTTTTCAATACAGATAGTCCTCGACTTACGACCACAATTGAGCCCAAAATTTCTGTTGGTAAGCGAAATATTTGTTAAGTGAATTTGCCCAATTTTATGACCATTATTGTTAAGTGAATCACAGTTGTGAAGTTAGTAACACAGTTCTTAAGTGAATCAAGCTTCCCCATTGAGTTTGCTCGTCAGAAAGTTGCAAAAGGTGATCACATAACCCCAGGACACTGCAATCGTCATACATATGAACCAGCTGTCAAGCATCTGAATGTTGATCACGTGACCATGGAGATGCTGCAATAGTCTTAAATATGAAAAATGGTCATAAGTCAACTTTTTCAGTACCATTGTAACTTCAAACGGTCACTAAATGAACTGTTGTAAGTCGAGGACTACCTGTACTGATGAAGATTTTAGCTAAGGAGCTAATCAGAAGCAAAGGTTAGCAGTCTCAGCTATTCTCTGCCCAGCTTATTATCATTCTGCAGGTTAATTTTATAAAGAATAGTAATTTTTAAATTTTAAATTTTTTATAAACATAATGAAAGGAGAAAAAAAAATATCTCAGATTCCCAAAACATATTTTGTATATGTCCCTTTTATTCTTGATAAAGTTAACACATGTTCCAATATTTATCAAAAGTCTTAAATCTTAACATAATTATGTGCTTATTATAGTTCTTTGTAAGTTGGCCATTTAAATAATTTGGATGCATCAAATTCTTAATATTTTTTCATACTGTAATATGAATATACAGCTAGCATTACTAGATCCTTATCAAAGGCTTTCATCATTCTTTAAATTTCACTCAATCTCACTCACTCAGCTACTTTTTTCCATAATAGTTACAGAATATTGGCAATGGGCTCTTTAGTGAGATATAAAGAACATTTTGTTAAGGTTTCAGGTTGGATTTAATAGATTAAAAAAACATTGATTTTCATTCCTTGCTCAGTTCAAGGGATCTTGTTAAAATTAATTGCTGACACGGTAATATAGAAACTTCACGGTAGACATTAAATTGTAAAGCGATCAGTTCCTATGTTACTATGCATACTAATTTGAAAATCCTAGGTTAATGCAGAGTTTTGCTGTGATAGTCAAAACATTCACTAAAGGGTGGCGCACACACAGTAAACTTAGCAAAGTAATACATGGTGCTTGAAGGAGGCCAAAATCTTATATATTAAACTCCAAAGAAAATGGTGTTATTTTTAAGACTGAAAAAAAACTTTAAAAAAAAAGGAAAGAAAAAGAAGAAACTAAAAAGAATGGGGTAGCCAGGCCGACAGAAAGCAAGGAAAGTAGCTGATATCAATATAAATGAAATAGGTTGATCAATCAGAGCTTTTAGGTCAACACCAGGGAGTTGAAGGAAGGAGCCAAAACTCTAAGCAAAAAGTTACAGCTAAAGGCTAAACTACATATACTCATAAATGAAATAGGGTTCTTAATAATGATTTTTTTAAATCCTGAAGGATAAATGAAGAGAGGGAATTAATCATAAATAGTCCTTCTTTTCTCCTGCCTTGGAAAAGTAATAGAAAAGAGTAAAAGAATCTCTTATGAAGTTAAAATTAAGCCAAATTCTCCCTTTTATAAGACTTTAAGGGACAAAGGTTAAAAAGCTGGGTTTCATCTCTTCCAGTAATGTCAAGTCATCAGGTATACCTCCCCAAAGCCTTGAAGGACCACAAAAGGCAGATACTTCTCACAGGGTTAAAGACAAGCCCTCCCCCCATCCACAAAGATGCATATAGAATGTTGGGTGATCATCGAAGAGAAGTTGAGGACCATGAAGGTCAATGGATTGTTTAGCCTAATCCTAGATCAAACAGCCCAGAAGACCTAATCTAGATCTAATCTAAAAAATTAGAAGATTAGAAGACCTAATCTAAAAAATCTGGAGATATTTAAAAAGAGGGTAGACAGTCACTTGTCTGAGATGGTATAGGTTCTCCTACTTGAGCAGGGGGTTGGACTAGAAGACCTCCAAGGTCTATTCTATTCTGTTCTGTTCCGTTCTGTTCCGCTCCGCTCCACTCCGCTCTATTCTATCTGCTCCAGAGTGAAACGGGAAAATGCAAAGAACAAAAAAGTACAGGTAGTCCTTGACTTAGTAGTATAATGGAGATTGCCCATTATGACTTTAAGTCCTGATGGTCTTAAAGCGTGTCACCCACATGACTGACCAATTTTTACAGCCTTCTTTTCAACAGTCATTAAATGAATGCAAGTTATAAAGCGAACATGATAGTTGTAAAGAGAACACCACAATCGCAAAGCAAAGGTTGCAGTCCTAAATCAAACTCACTGTTGCTATGGGGTATTTTTTTTGCCAAAACCAGGAGGTACCGTAAATGCCAATTCTCAGCAAAATACCATAAAATGTGGTCATGTGATTATCGGATGCTGTGAATGGCCATAAATGCAGGCTGGTTGCTGAGTACCCAACATGCAGCCTCACATGCGATCATGTGACTGTGGGCAGTAGGCTAGCAGTAGCACTTCGAATCTGAGACATAAATATCTTTGGGGGGGGTTAGGGTAACTTCAAATTATCACAAAGCAACTGGTCATGTTGAGGACTATCCATAGAACATAATTCTACCAGTTCTTGCTTGATCATTGTCTCCAAACAGAAGCAATTTGGTCCACAGTGTTATACAGATGCAATACTGAACAATCAATTCTACTGGCCTCCTCTTTCTCTCTTTTGCATGGGCAGGCCAGGGAGTTTATCACTGAAGAGGCAATCAGCTGATCCCTTCGTCCATGCACACAGGATGGAGAGAACTGTGTCCAATTATCCAATTTGCCACAGCACACAGTGGCAGAGGCCAAGCGAATAGGCAGAGGTGGAAGTGCTATTCCAAAGATTATCCTCTTTGGCTCACTCACTTCTTATTCACTTTCTCCCACCCTACCAACCGAAAAAGGACAAGTAAACAGAACACAACTGCCTACTTTTTCTCCACCTGCAATTAAGTTATATCCTTTTTTCTTCCTCTAATTACTGGATCAAATGCTACTTTTCCAAAGAAGAGCAAGCAGAGATAGCATTGCGGAAGGCAGAGCAGTTGACCCATGGAAGACCATCGGTTGTTTATTTTATTTATTTATTTATGGATTTATAAAATTTACTGGCTGCCTACCTTACCATAGGGTAACTCTGGGCATCTTATAATCATAAAAATATGTCTATACATGTACAATTAAAGCATAAAGTATAAATAATTAAAATCAAACATTAAAACCTAAGGACAATTTATGAGGCCAGGGGCAGAGTGGAGAGAGGTGGGATCTGTTGTTACTTGAGCAACAGTGTTCCCCTACTGGGGCCCCAAGCCAACTTGCAGAGGCAGGTCTTTAGACCCTTATGAAAAGATGGAAGGGTTGGGGCCAACCTCACATTGAAGGGGATGTTCTAGAAGGCAGGAGCAGGGAAGGCCCTCCTGAACCCCAGGCTGATGGGACCCACAGCATGCCTCCTCTGCCGACATGAATGGGATGGCCAATCCCAGTGGGGTGAGATGGTCCCTCCAGTAACCTGGGTCCATGCCATGAAGGTCTTTAAAGGTGATCACTAACATCTTGAATTGCACCGAAAAGCAGACCGGTAACCAATGGAGCTCATTGCTGAACACACAACTGATCACTTTGTTCTCTCTTTGCTATCCATACAAAGAATTCAAAGAACAATAGATGAGAAGGTAGCTCTTTTGATTACCTATCCCAATGCTGCAGTGCAGGGCCCAGGGTATTATTTAAATTAGGCAATTACAGGTTCTAGCAATAATTTGACATGCTAACCCTTCAAAATGAAAAATATCATTTTGCTCATCAGGATGTACCAACATATTTTAAGAAAAAAGTTGAATTATTTCAACAAACATTTAAAAAATATATGTTGCTCATCAGGATGTGCCAACATATTTTAAGAAAAAGGTTGAATTATTTCAACAAACATTTAAAAAGCATGAACAGCAGCGATAAAACAGCACCAATTTTGTTGTATCATGACCCCCTAAACTTTCACATGGAATTGACATTTCTTATTACAGTATGTTAATATTGCACACTCAGAAAACTGATTGAAATAATAGAATTTAACTAAAATGAAATTGAAATACTTGAGAATTGCAATGGTTTTGGGGGAAAAGAAGATCCACACAAAGAATTCCTTTTAACCCAGATGGTATTTTTAATAATAAAAGGTTAAATTGATACTACTCAGAAAATTAAAGACATAAAGAGAAATAGCTTGAGATCCTTGAATGTGGATAGTGAAAGTCTGGTAATATAGATAATTAAAAGAAGGCTACGGTCTTTCCTAATTAAGGAACAACAGCCAGTCTCAAACTTGCTGAGTACAATTTTGCTTTAGAACTGGAGTGATGTAATACAATTTTGTCCCTAGAGTTCTATTGCACTAAGTTGGCCTATTTGAAGTTTTTAAGAAGAGACTGGACAGCCATTTGTCTGAAATGGTGTAGGGTTTCCTGCCTGAGCAGGGGGTTGGACTAGATGACCTCCAAGGCTTTATTACTATTACTATTACTATGTACATATAAATATCTTTATTACTATTACTATTACTATGTACATATAAATATCTTTATTACTATTACTATTACTATGTACATATAAATATCTTGGAGGAATTTTCATCCATAAATGCACAATTACACACATCAAATTATATTAAGAAGGAAGTAATAAGACTTATATTCTTCGTTAAGTCCCAATATTTTCAGTACAATTATAGCTAGGCTCTTTCTCCCACTCTGCCTGCATAGGCTGGCTGGCTGCAAAGCCTGGAGCATGGCTCTGTCATGAGTTTGGCTTGTCCTGCTCATGCAAAGTTCAAAACTTGTGAGATGCCTTCTGGACTTTCTTTCTTTCCTCTTCTATGTGACATTTTAACAACTGGTCCTCAGGAACTGTATAAAACCAGCTAAAAACACCCCAGTTGCATTACCCAGAGCTAAAGGAGCCAGTTTTTGCTTCTCTCTAGCCAGCCAAACCGTTCATTTTTGTGATAGATACATCCATAAGCAAGGGAAAGGAAATGGGAGCATCGCTATTTTCTCTTGCTTTCACAACTGAAGAAATGGTAAAGCTTAGAGGAGATGCTCCTAAAGGAGAGAGAAGATTGCTTAAGGGAGAGAGAATATTATTCGCTAAATGAACAGTTATTTCAAACACACGTTTAACTTCACATTTAGTTTGCCCTTCGCTTACAACACATTAACACCCATATTTCTATGGGAGCGAGTACAACAGGAGATATTGTTTTCAAATCTGGGTGACTCAATTGTGGTCGTAAGTCGAGGACCACCTGTAGTCATATTACTACCTCTCGTTAGCCTCGCCCCCCCCAGTATTTTGTTCCTATGATTCTGGAAATGACTGGGCAGGTTAATTAATGTGCATGTTTATTCTCTTGTTCCTCTATATTTCGTGCAACTTCTCCATTCTCTAAGCAACAGTGGAGGCCATGTTGATGTCTTCAGTGCATGTACAAGCTCTTGATCAGTTACCCAGAACTAATTGGGACTCAGCTAATCACTGGAGGTTTTTAAGAAGAGGCTAGCCCAGGGGTAGGCAACCTTGGCTCTTTTATGACTCATGGACTTCAACTCCCAGAATTCCTGAGCCAGCTATTCTGGGAGTTGAAGTCCATGAGTCATAAAAGAGCCAAGGTTGCCTATCCCTGGGCTAGACAGTCACTTATCTGAAATAGTATAGGTTCTCCTGCTTGAGCAGGGGGTTGGACTAGAAGACCTCCACGTTTCTTTTCTATTCTGTTCTGTTCTATTCAGAATGTCCATGGATGATGCCCCTAATCTGCATTTGTATTGTACATGCAAAATAATTTTAAGATTTTTGCTTCCCAACTCTTACCTTTGCAATCATGGTATTGAAATTACTTGCCTCTAAAAGTGTATTTGCTTACTTGAATGCTTAATTACATCTGACACAGAAAGAACCTACTGTGATTCTGGCTTTGCTTACAATTTGCTCCAGCTGTTTTTTTTTAACCTAGTTCACTAAGCATGGATTTATTTGTAGTTAGCTGCCCTGTTTCTTACTCCACCAGCCTCAATAAGCATCAGCCATTACTGATCATAGCTGATTTACAATAATTGTTGTCATATATTTTGCACTCAAAAGCTAAATAAAATTAGCACAGCACAGGATACACAAAATAGAATTATCTTGAAGTATTCATCAGGTAAAATGTTTCAGATGCTTAAATGATCTTAAATGATAATCTTCAACACAATTCTGAAGATACCAACACAATGTTGATCGTAAATGAAGATTTCCACTTCCAAGCACAACAGCATGATGTTGCAAAAGCAACAGAAATGAGACACATGCACCAAAAGACTGCACAGCTACTATACAGAGAAACACACACATACACAGAGAGGATGAACACAGAGAACATTGGAACATTACCATGAGTTTCTGTAGAGTGACTAAACCAAGCAAACCTTCCTTTCTTCTTATCAGCTGGAGTGTTTCATTTCACAGACAAGATGGTCAAGTACCAGGAACAAGACATCAACAGAGAACATGCAGCCAGGGACGATCAAAAGAAAAAGAAATAAGGAACTCAGCTTACATGTAGGACAGCCACCTCTATCTTTCATTGTGGGAATTGAGGACACAAAATGAAAACAAAGGCATATGGAAAATAAAACATTATAACAGAAGGCACAGTCAGTATTATAGCAACATCTCCTTCCACCTGGACTGAGGAAACTCCAGAAATATCAGACTATTAAACTGAAGTCACAGATGCTGAAATGTAGAATTGCAAAATTCTGCAGAGCAAGCTCCCTTAGTCTAGCCCAACAGCATACTTTCTTACACCAATTTAGGACATTATCTACCAGAAGCATATTTTATTTTTACAGCCATGACGAGGTAATGACTTTTCCAGGCCTACCATAAATAGGCTGTTAAAATGCAGATGATGACTGGGTGGCACCAAAGAGATGCAGAAAACTAGAGCCGAGGTGGCGCAGCAGTTAGAGTACAGTACTGCAGGCCACTTTAGCTGACTGTGTTCAGCAGGTCAGCGGTTCAAATCTCACCGGCTCAAGGTTGACTCAGCCTTCCATCCTTCTGAGGTAGGTAAAATGAGGACCCAGATTGTTGGGGGCAATGTAAATATATATATACATTGCTTACTGGTGTACACCGCTTAGAGAGTGCTTGCACTTAAAGCGGTATATAAGTCTCATAAATAAATAAATAAATAAATAAATAAATAAACTAACTAACTCTCTGTGCCATCTACTCCAAGATCTGGTGCACCTAGGCCTCCCCACACGGCCTTATAACTACGATCTGTCTCTTAGAGCTTTTTAGCCCTGGTCACAGATCCATTTATTTTGTTATTGCCACTACCACATTATCCAAAAGAGGGCATTGTATTTATTCTCCCCACCCATTGTTAAAGCAATCCCAAAGACAAAATTGAGAAGGAATATGATTGGTTGGCCCAAGGTCAGTTAATAACTTCAAAGGGGATTTTGAAGTAATTGGTTTTCAAAGAATGCATTATCTGTGACCACTCATTTTCACAAGGAAATCATTGATAACAGTTTCCTAAAGCAGCAACAGCCTGACTTAAAAGTTGTCCTATACAGGCTTGTTCCAGAAATCTAGTCTAGCCAGTCTTCGTAAGTTCAGCTGGAATAAGTAAAAAGCACAGTGAAAAGAAGAGACAAATTTATTTAGAAGCATTTAGAATGAAATACAGGTAGTTCCTGACTTAACAATTATTTGTTTAGAGATCGAAGTTATAACAGACTTATGACAGTCCTTGCACTTACCATCACAGTAGTCCCCTTGGTCACATGATCAAATATGGGATTTTGGCAACTGGCATGTATTTATGATGATTACAGCCTTCTGGGGTCATGTGATCACCATTTGTGACTTTCCCAGCCAGCTTCTGACAACCAAAGTCAATGGGATAAGCCAGATTTGCTTAATAACCATGTAATTCAGTGAACAACTATATTGATTGGCTTAACAATGATGGCAAAAAAAGGTCATGAAATCGGGCACAACTCACTGCGTTTAGCAGTGGAAATACTGAAAGCTGTGGTCATACGCCAAGGACTACCTGTAGATGAAACATTTGCTAGGTATATGTTGCTATTATTGTTATTGATCGGTTACAGTTGTACAGTTTCTGATTTTTATGATTTGATAAAAATGCATGTATGGCTTTGGATAAAAAAAAACACTTTCCGCTTTTATATTGTGAGATGTTGCAAGCTTTGGAAGAAATTGAGTACCAGTAAATAACAATAATGTTTCATTATGAAAGATACTTCAGAGAACAATCCATTGGTGTTCCACAATGCCGGTTACTTCTTTTCCAGAAAGTATAATCAAAACTGGAACCCCAATTCCACCGCACTTAATTTATTTGTTATTGCTAGATTTATATCTTGCCTTTCATTTAGGAACTCAAACAAAGCATATAGTGTTCTCTCTCCTATTGCCCCCCACCACAACTAACTAGAGAGCTAGATTGGGCTGAGAGAGAATGAACTAATAGTGAATCGCAATAATTTCCTCCCTATTACAGAGAAAATCTATACAAGTCCAATGCATTCCCCTGGATACAACATTTACATTCATAGCAGTCCCAAACCCCATTGCCTCTCTCTGTAAGAGCATTTGGTTTACTGCTGTGTGTGGCTCTTTCACAATTGTACTGATAAATCAGAAACCCTTTCTTTCTTGTTGGCATTCATACTTTGCTGTTTCAGTCAGTGGTGGGGATCTTGTCAGATCTCCAAAACTACACTTGCTCAGTAGGAAAGACTTATAAATGAGACACCTGAGGAAGCAGAGAGATAAGAAAAACGTCAGCCCTTCACCAACAGATAAAACCACCTTAAAATTGGGATTACAGTTGCAGATTAATGCATCATTGTATTTCTGATAATATGCTATTACATATGAATATATTACACTGAATTTAAATCTTAAATCTTCTCTGTAGTTCTTAAAACGAATGCAGAATAAAGTGAGTTACACTAAATCATTAAAGCTACGCTATTCATTAGACTTATATGTCACTCTTTTTTCAAAGGGCTCAAACCAGCTCCCATACAATTCTCAGAAGGTCTCCCAACCAAGCAATTTCATGTGGTTGAAATTGTAAGACTATATTATCTGTATCAAAATATTCCCTAGGATCACTAAAATCTCTGAAAGCACATGCTAATTCTTGCCTTTAGCAGGCCAGACAGTGGGTATTTCCCAGACTGTTGAATTTAATTGCTATCCATTTATTTTTCAGACAGCAGAAAACTGAATAAAAACCAGCAAAATATGCTGTATCCATTGTCAGTTTCTATTGTGTCTTCATAGCTTTTGTTCTGAGTTGTCACTGGATGTACAAGGCAGTTTAAACAAAATTTTTGGTTAAATCTGCTAGACTTGCTGTCTTCCCCACTACCAAAGGTCACCAACTGATGCTAAACCATGGGAAAACCACAACAATGTTCTGATTGGTGGACAATTCTGACAGAGGGCTAAATTTGAGTTTGAGTATCCTTACTCCCACACACAAAGCCCCTAGAATATTTACCGTGAGGTGGGTCTGGTAAAGCAAGAGGAGCATTGATCTTTAAAGCCCCATACAATTCAGCTCCTAAGTACCTTCAAGATTGCCTTCAAACAGAATTGTTCCATCCTATATGCTCATTCCTGTTGGATATGCTTTGTATCTGCCATACTTATGAGGTGAAGAAGGACGAAGGCTTTGAAGTACCAATTCTCTTTTGCAGCTCACCTTAAGAACTAGCATCTTCTCAGAAGTTTCATTTGCATTTTATTAATTTCATTTTATGTAATTCCAGCAATTTATATGCTGTGCAATTAAAAAAAAGGACTCCAGTGGCTTACAGAAGTAAAATAAAGAGCATAAAGCAAACAAATAATAATCAGACCAGACCAGCCCTCAAGCCAAAACTAACAACTCCTTCCTATAGGCAGGGGACTGGCTTTAGTAATCTTCATGGAAGAGTCAGGAGTTGATTGTTGCCTGAGCACCAACAATGTTGGTGCTGACCTAAGCTCAGGTAGAGCACTACTCCAAAGAAGAGGGACATCTACAAAGGAGACATTGCCTTGCCATGATTTTACAAGTAGGTACTGACCTACTTAAGATGGAACTCTTCTGACTTTGAGAAATTATGACTGCTGGATTCTTCTTTTTTGTCTGCAATCATTGTGATCCTCTTGACTTTTGTCCTGCTGACTATTATTCTTATTCCACTATAGGTGTTTATTGTTGTCAATTTGTTATTTTACATTATATTAACACCATGACTAATCCCTTAATTAAGGCAGTGTGCAAACCTGAAAATAACTAAATTTACCAGGTAGAGAAGTGGCTGTGCCACACGTGAGATGACCACTTGCAGAAGGCTTTGAAGCAGCCACATTTAGCCTTCCAAAGGACATGTCTGTCGCAGTGGTTTAAGAGTGGGGCTTCCTTAGCCCAACACACTCTTTGAAGTGGAAAAACTCTTAAAATATTCTGTACAGCCTAATGTTTTGCACCTTGGAATAAAGAGGTTGAACAAGAATTTTTCTAATTAAATGGCTTTCCTCATTTTTTTCAGGAGCATGATTTTGGCTTTTGTGCTTCTTTAGATAGATGGATAAACAGCATCAAATTATATTTTATAATAGGCATGTTTAATGCTTTGGTAGTAATTGCTTTTTGAAATCTGTGAATATGTTTGGAAGCATTTATAGAGCTGCAGAATTGCTAATATAATTATTTTAATTTAGGCCTTGTGTGGGCAAGTGTCAGACAGCCATCAAACTAAGTTTTAACCTTAACAATCTCTACCTACTGCATTCCTCAACTAGCTTCTAGACATCTATTTAATCTGGACACATTCTTAGAGCAGAAGAAGTTTGTGTTTTACTGATTGAATAAAATTCAGTAACGCTACAGCATAATTCTGCAGCCTGAATTTTGCCTACTTATTTGAAATCAAATACAAACTTCAACACTCTTCACACCTGCAACTCCTGAACAGGTCCACTCCTTTCTGCTTATTTTGAATGTTCTTCTCCCAGGCTTTCCCCCAAGTTCTTCTCTTCCCTTTCATTCTCTAAAAGAAAAGAGAAGTCTCTTTATACAACTTTACTTCCTATCTTCTACTCTTTGTGTCTTTTAAAGCTATTTCCCAAACTTCTCTGTTTGGCCAAATATGGTCACTGGTCTTTGTGGAGACTGCAAGACCAGGAAAGAATGACCACCAATACTTCTCTTTCTGCCATGCAGCCAAGAAAGAGGCATTAAGTAGCTATTAAGAAGCATGTACAAATAGCCATACTAGTTAGTATGGTTATAACAGTTATACTAGTTATTACATAACAACAGCTAAACTAGCTATTATAGCAATTTTACTAGAATAAAATGAATTTTTTAAATCCACAATCCAGACCACAGAATTAGGGGAGGAGTCATTATTTTTTTTAGTGTTTGAGTATTTTGAATAAGATTCTACTTCTCTACTCCCTAGAGAATCGATTCTACATGAGCTTGACTTACAAGCAGTTGTTTAATGGTGGTTTGGAGTTACTGTACCCTTGGAAAGGGTGCTTTATGGCTTTCATGCCATACCATCCTCTCCCATGGTCACAAAACCACATGTCAGGTGCTTGGCAATTGGTTCACATTTATGAGCGGTTGCAATGTCCCCTGGTCATGTGATCATGATTTGAGATGTTTTTTGCTCGTTTCCAGAAAAAAGGAGAATGGATTTGGACTTACAGCTGTATGATTCACTTAACCACCACATGATTTGCCTAATGACTGCCAAAAATGGCCATAAAATCAGGACCAGTCATATGGATACCTTGACTTATGAGTGTCACAATTTACAACCAAAATTTTGATCCCAATTTCAGTTGTAAGTCAAGGACTACGTATAGTTTCCATTTAGCTAAACTAATTTACCTTCCCTTGGTAGAAATCAATAAAAGGCTAGAAAGCGGTTTTAATTCTTTTTTTTTTTTTCTACATTGCTTTCCCTTGGCAAGAAAATGTGGAAAAATTAAGCAAAATGATGACAGCCTGAAGGATCTTCATTACACCACTAATTTTACACAAATTCGTTGGTTCTTCCTTTCTGATAGCTTCAGGAATAAAAAAAGTCATTCACATATTTTAGCAGCTATGAAACTATTCATTAAACTGTAACACAAGGAATTGCTATGATTTTAAGCCTAGTGACTTAAAACCTGCCTCACTCATTTCCAATTTTTCTAAGAAAGTGGTACATCTTTGCTCTGTTTCATTCCAGCACAGATTAATAACAGCAGTAGGATTTAGAGTTGAGTGAGCATAGACAGGGCTGCAGCTTTCTTTGTTCTAAAAAAAACCCAACTTCTCTACAGATTATTGTACAAACATTGTGAATGTTGCCAATGCTACCAGCAATTCCATCGCTATTTCAACCATTATTTCTGCACGGTTATGGCTACACAATGCCTGTTATTAAATGCATAGCTAATATCTTTATAGTTACACACTGAATTTCCACCACTTTGAGAGAGAAAGAAAAATAGGCAATTTTGCATTCTAATCCTTCTCCCATTGTTTTTTTTTAAATAAATTCCACAGGGTATAATAACATGATTTGTGTTCGAGGAATAAATATCCGTATTAGTCAACATTCTAGTTCCTTTTCTTTGCTATTTCTTCTTTTCACAATTGAATTCTGTGACTGCTGAATATTATTTATTTAAGAAAACAGGAGAATAAATATTTACCTTAAATGTACCTTAAATATTTATCTTATTTAATCAAACAAGGTTTCCAAACTATTCTAATAGCATTTGCTTCTCCATTAGACTGGGTGTAGGAAATTCAAATACAAGGGATTTGCAAAAAAAAAAAAAAAGTTTGACATATGATTTCCATCCCAAAAGAAATAGATTATTCTAAGGATATAAGTAGCCCTCGATTTATGACCACAATTAAAACCGAAAAATTCATTGTTAAGTAATGTCGTCATTATGTGAGGAATCATGTGAGCACACCCATTTTTTTGCTGTGGTCAGTAAGTGAATCACTGATTGTTAAGCGATACATCACATGACTGCATTTTGTGACCATCCCTGCTAGCTTTCCCGTTGATTTTGCTTGTTGGAATCTTGAAGTTTGGGAAGTCAGAAATAGGGATCACATCATCCCAGAACATTGCAACCATCATAAATGTGAACGAGTTGCCAAGCTCCTGGATCGTGAACATGTGGACTGTGATGGTCATAAATGTGAGGACTGGTCATAAGTTATTTTTTCCAGTGCTGTCATAACTTAGAACAGATGCTAAACAAATGATTGTAAATCTAGGACTACCTGTACTTGGCAGGTACTTTTATATCTTCAATAAAACTAAAAAACATAGTGATTTTAACGACTATATTATGGAACTGGGCTTATTTTCCCTTTTTAATTGAAAATTTTATATGTCTTTTGAGATACAGATAATTCATTCTAACAACTAAATCAAACTTCAGATTGCATAAGCCTCCCCTCTGAAGTAGGAACAAATTGTAAATCTTCCTATTCCTTAAATGCTCACAAAGGAATTTGAAATCAGTTGGTTGAAAGGAAAGCCAAAATCATCAACCAATCAACTACCTGGGATGTTAGATCCCCTCCTGTTTGGAGTTTATATAGTGTGCATTTTTCAGTTGATTGAAAAAACTGTAGTTGTGAGAAAAACATTTCTAGCTGCAAAGCCACTTTTTCTGCTCTTTGGCTTAATTATTGTCATATTGTATGCATTATTTCTAATAACATATAATAAAATATTTTTTTCTTATTTGTATTTTTTCAAATTCTGCCTTTTTCTGTTAGAAAAGTCATTCTCTATATAGCTGAGAAATTTCTAATCTAGAAGTATTACTTTAAAGAACTAGATAATATACTTTTCATGATTAATTCCTAAAGGTTATTGTCATATTATTGCTGTATTATACCAATGATTCTATGACCATGATTAATCTCATCACCTCCAAATTTATTCTCACAACTACTATTTTGAAGATTTAGTCTTTAAAAAGTCTTGTGCTGTTTAATGACCACAATATAACAACCTAACCTATCCTAATCTAACCTAGCCTAATGTCTTATATAGTAAAGACAAACTTACACAACCCATACATGTTTACATAAAATAAAATAACTCATGCTAGTCTATAAATATTTCCAAAGCTCAGGGCCAGACAACAGTAAGGACCTCTGAAATACAGTAAGGGAGCCTGGATGAAAGCAAAATCAGCCACTCTTTGATTTGGACACGGAAAATCAATAGAATACTTATTAATGGAGGAATCACAGCTCTCAGAGTTCAAGTCATCAATACCTAAGCAAGAAGACAAAATTGTGAAAGGCTCTGAAAGGAATAACTACTTATTTAATACTCATTTATTTAACATGATCTTGGACTGATCTAAATGTGCCATACCCTCTGAACTTCTGCCAAAAATTTGATCCCCATACAGATAGAAAGACAAGACAGCAATGTTTGTTGCTATTTGAAGCACATTCTTCTAAGCATTGCATGGCAAAAAGAAGGACTATGTCTAATAGTTGCTTTCCAAATCACCTCCAGCAGCATCATGTAGAAGAGCAGAATATGAATTAAAAATATATTAGCTTCTGGCAACCAAAGTATATCTTTCATTTTGATACAGAAACAGCTCAGATAACCAACTAATCCTTCCTCCCCATAAAGATAACCTGGCTAATTCTTGATATATTATAAACTTGATAGAGTACATTCAGAAATACTTTGAGAAAATCTACAACAAATCATCTTGGTGCTGATTGGAACAGTGACATCATTCAAAGCAATATTACCTTTCCACCATAGCAAAGCAAGGTTCATGATGTGGAACTGATATTTCTCTAATAATGTGATTTCACAAATTACACAGATGATAATTTGATTCTGATTCTAGAGTTATTATTCTCATAATGCATACAGTATGTTAGATGCTTATTTAAGTCCACAGGCCCATTCTGGTATTGTATTTACTTTACAAATAGTATTGCTTTTATATTTGGCCTGAAACGTTTTGGGAAAAGGATGTTTCAGAAATGTTACAAACACCAACACAAGACTGAGTCAGCTTGAAGTATTCAAGATAATTATTTCAAAGGGAAAAGGATGAATTGCAGTTCAGTAAACCTATGGAGCTCAAAGCACATTTTAAACCACATCTCTCAGGAATCTTTTAATAGAAAGTATATGCCAGTTTCCCTTTGTTATACACAAGGCCAAGCAAAGGCATGATCTTCCAGAATCAATAGTAATTATATTGACTTCTTCATCTTCCCCATCCTATTTTTATAAAGCAATATTTGATTCAGAAGAAAATTTCAGCTCATGATGTTTCTCAAAATGCTGAGCACCTTCAGAAGTCATCTCTGGCTAGGAGCAAAAAGGAAAACAGGAAAGAGTTTCTTACTGTTTCGAGGCTTCTCCTCATCCATGCCTTCATCCTCATTTTCTGGATCTATATCTTCTGCCTGAGTGATCCAGTCTAGATATCCTTTTAAGTCCTCCTCCAGTTGTTGTTTCTCTCTTAGCTTCTGAAAGTCACCTCGAGCTTTTGCTTTTTCTCTCTCTTTAGAAAACTCCCTGGTAAGAAGGAGAAGATTAAATTAAAAGGACAGAAGAGAGAAAAATAGAAAGAAGAAAGAGAGAGAAGATAAGAGAATAACTTGAATTGCCTTAAAATATTAAGTTTCTTGGTATGATAGCTGCTTGTATTAATTTAAGCTCTGTGGTTCCTCAAGATATATTGCTAGGTTTTGGAACAGCCTCTGTTTTGGAACTGTACTGCATCTCAAATTACTTTTGTAACTTGAGATGTAGATATTATTATTATTATTGGTGGTGGTGTTAAAATCTCCTATACCTGAGGCAATATTACATTCAATACATTACTAGGAATGTAAGGCAAATTTGACTCTTATGTCATATCGATTTGCTGCCTCGAGTTTTCTGTCCTATTGTTTGGTTTTTGTTCATTTTGGTTTGGTTTTAAAAATAGAATATTACAAAATACTTTATTTAATTCTTAGGATCAAAAGCATCTCAGTGAATTAATAAGTGGAAAGAGCTTTGCTATTAAAATAAAAAGGCCATTTACAAACATGGAAATACCGTAAGAGTTCATCTAATAAAAAACACATTTTTGTAGTAAGAAACAGTAAACAAAAGGTGGACAATAAGAAAATATAGTCAAGATTTGGTGCCTCTTTCCAAGCAGCATTTTATTAAAGCAAGGTGAACAGTATTAGAGGTTTTTTTTTTATTAAGCAAAGAAGATTAAATTTAATTTTTTATGTCCATGGAGTTCAATATCTTGTAATGTTATCCTGTATTGTCCACTAGAAAATGCAACTTAGGCTGTATTGGCCCTGCAATATTAAACATTATTATTTAACAATGTCTTTTAATAATAATATTAGAGGAAGATTTATGGTCAACACTAGAAAGAATGTTGATGTTAGACTTCAGATTCCTTTATTACAATATCAGATCTACTATCTGGTAGTAATTGTCCTGGCTTTAACAAATATATTTTACACATCTTGTAATCTTTTAAATTATAGAGTCAAAGACAGAACCTGAGATTTTTTTTAAATATAAATAATTTGGTTTGCTTGGCTTTCTTGCAAAGCAGACATTTGCTATCTACTATGTATAGAGCTTTGTATGGTTTTGGTTTTTTTGCATCAGAGCATTCTACATGGAAAAACCATTATGTTTATGGTGGTACTGTTAATACTTAATATCAAATGGACATTTTTCTGGGACATCTAATACAGTTTTAAAAATGTTTTAATGATGGTAGTAAACTGGGTATCAATGTGTAATCAAAATGCATGTACACGTAATTCTCTTTTATTTGGCATTTTGTGAAGTAATTTCAATTTCCATTCCTTCCTATATCTTTGTGTATTGCACGAGACCAAACTGTGTTTAGTTTATACAGTACAGGTTAAAAGAAAGCAATATGGTTTATTTGGTTAATTCCTGGTTTGTTTGATCTGTATATCTTTTGCCAATATCCAAATCTCTAGAGGTATACATCTATTTTGATAATCTGTTTGCAGGAATGTTTCCTAGGAACCATGGGAGACGTTTTGATGTTTATGTATTGCTTTGTGCTCCATCTGTTTTGCTTTTGAGTGAATGTCTCCTCCTATCATGGGGACTCTCAGCAGGAACTTTGGGCAGGCATACATATTCTATCTGGAAGAAACACATCTGAAGTTACAGTGAGCCCAAGCATATAGAGCTTTATACATCATAAACAGTTCCTTAAAGGATGCTTGAAAACAATCCGAGCCAATAGGGCTGCTACAGTAGTAGTTTCACATGGCAGTAATGTTTCTGTCTTGGAAACATATGTGCAGTTGCACTGTACATCAGTTGAAGTTCCTGATGGTCTTCAGGGGTATTGTATAAAGTACCTTACAATAATCCAATTAGGAGGTGATAAAAACATGGATGGAGTTTATTTGAAGATCTGTACAGTATTTCTATGTTGCTCTCAAAGAATATTTGGCCACAGAAAGCAAAGTATTTGTAGACTGAGGATGAGTGAAGAGTTTGGAGAGAAAGCCTTTGGATCACAATTTAATCTGGAAGTCAAATCTATTTTTATTTTCAATTACTATTATCTTGCAATTTCAAGATTGGTAAAAGAGAACAAACACAAAAATGAGGGGTCCTTGGTGCTCTCTGAGCTTGCTTATTTTCTTACAGACATTTCATTACCCTAACTAGGTAACATCATCAGTGCTAGTAAGGAGTGCACAAAAAAACACAAAAACAAACCAGGAATGACATAAGATGCCAGGTTTAGCTAAATTAATAAGGCAGATTTCAAAAACCAATTTTAAACCACAACACAAAATTCTTCTCTTAGCATCTATGTGTTCAGGTATTCCAACAAATTACTGTTATACCAAACCCTAATTTAGCACTTTTATAGGCCAAATTGATTTTACAATGATCTTCAAATATTTCTAATTTTTGGCTGTCACACTAAGAAAGCAAATTATAAATCGACTAATATATTCCAACTGGTAAAATATAAACATGGAATACACAGAAGTATCATTTTAATTTGTAACATTGAGCCCAAATTCCTTCACAATGTAGGAATCTAAATCAATGCAAAAATGATGGTCTAGCCTCAATTTGAACATATTTGACATCTCTCTAGTGACTAGTTCCACTGTCATGAACGTTGACACCTATTATCTCATAGCAGATTCAATAATACCGGTATAGTGAATATTTGTCTTCCATAGTTAAGTCAAGTTTCATGAGGAAAGTTCTGAACTGAGAAAGGACAATTTTTCACTAAATGGTAACTTTTTATATTTTCCATTCCTTATCTATTGCTGACTGTTTTAATGAAATTCATGTGTGCATGTAACATTCTTAAACAGAGTTGTATCTCTGTATGGCTGAAGTTTTACTGTAAATCCCTATAACCACTTTGTTAATTTGTACAAAGACAATGTTAAAAAACCTTTGTACTCTAGAAAATACAATGTAATTTTATTTGAATGATCAGTATGTATGGACCATAAATGTTCTGATGCATGGTGTAAGGCTGTCAGTTTCTCTAAGGTATCAGAGAAATCAACCTCTGCTTTTCAGTTGAATTCACACAAGCCATACTCAATGTTCTAGGTTTATAAGCTGCAAGCATACTAATTATGATACTAGTTTTTTCTTCTATGATAGCGGTTTATGTCGAGCAAATTTTAATTAATAGTTCTAATATTGTTGGTTTTTGAGGAGAACACTAAACTGCCCAATTTTCTAGTTATATCATGCTACAGAATGGATGAATTCAATCTGTGTATCTACTACTACTACTACGACTTTACAGCAATAGCAAAAACACTTAGACTTATATACTTGTTCAGAGTGCTTTACAGCCCTCTCTAAGTAGTTTATAGAGTCAGTATATTGCCCCCAACAATCTGGGCCCTCATTTTACTGACCTTGGAAGGATGGAAGGCTGAGTCAATCCTTGAATTTGTCAGGATTGAACTTCTGGCAGTGGGCAGAGTCAGCCTGTAATACTGCATTGTAACTACTGTGCCAGTTGTTACGGTTTGGTCAAAGATCATTGATGTTACCAAAAGAAATGTAGATGCTGAATCAACACTTATATCCACAACACCATCCCAAAGAATAGAACTATCAGTTTAGAAGCCAGGAAAATAAATAGCAAAAACAATTGAAAACCATTTTTCCTTGTATTGCTTACCCGCTAAGTACACCGAGAACCAAGTTAAGTACAAAAAATGAGCCTATGATGATTAGTGTAACAAAATAGATCCAGGGCCACTCACTTCCTATGGCATCATTGACCTGGAAGAGTGGAATGATAATTAGTGAGAAAAGTTAATTCCTGTGCATTGCAAGTCTCCAATTGAAGGGAACCTCAGCCACCAGCACTGGACCTGAATGTTTAGTGAGTCAATTCTAAAGACAAAGAGAGATAGTCATCTGTCTAGGAATGCACAAATTTTGTTAAGTTCTCCACTCCTGATAGAGGCGTTATTATATAGTCCTACTGTAATGTGACTGCCTTTAGGCATATTAATGATATGCAAATTTTCATTAAACAGACTCTTTGCTTGAGTTTCTGACAAGCTAAGAAGCTTGGTGACATGGAAGGATCCTGATCCTGGAGTCTTGCCCTGCAGCATGAGGAGAAGAAAACACCAAAACTAACAGCTTACCCGCTCAACACACCAAGAACCAGATTAAGAACGAAAAAGGATCCAAAGATGACCAGACTGACAAAGTACACCCAGGGTAACTCATAGCCCATAGCGTCCTGCATCTGGAAAGATGGAGGATAGTTAGAAGACAGAGACAGAGAGCAGAAATGGTTAGGGAGAGAAGACAGAGTGTTTACATATCAGGCCTATCTATCTGACCTGGAGAGCTGGAAATGTTATAGTTATTTATTTTTAGCTGTTTTGAAGATCTAGTGGCTCAAAACATTATGGGAAATCAGAAAGTGTGCATGAGAGTTCAATCACATTATAGAAGTGGAAGCATTCTTATGTACATATCTTTATTTAAATAAGGAAAAAGAGATGCCTCTTATCAATAACAATTTATTTCTGGAAGTTTAAAAAAATTAGACAACAACTGATGAATAATGCACCACAAACACATATTCAGGAGATTAATCTAGCTTAATGCAATATATTAGAAAATAATAATAAACAAGAAAAATCCTATATATAAAATAACGGTTTCCTAATGCTAAGTTTAATTGTGGTTCATTGGAGAGCTTTCTTTTTACACAATGATTGCTATTTTTTTACTGTTAAGTGAGAGCTTCAAATTATGAAAATATGATGTTCAAAATAGCCACTCTCTGCACATTAGAGCATATTCTGTACATACATTTTAAAAATTAACTGTAATTTTGTCAGGTTTCCTTTTTCCAAAGAATACCTTTACATATATTTTTTAAAAAATTGCTTTTGGCTTGAAAGGGGCCAGTCCAAAACATTTATTAATATTATCCAATAATTCCTATATCCTTTACTAGCTTAATACAATATAAAGCATTGATCTTTTAATAATACCTCACATCAGGTCCAGCATTTTGAGGAAATTACAAATAGTAACAGCTTCAGGCCACACATATCCAATAAAGCATATCTTTCCCCAGTTTCAACTATCTTGGTTGTTAAAAGAAAAGTCAAATTTGATTTTTCTTTTTGGGGTACAAATGTATAATCCTGTCTTTGTTCAACAGAAACATAAAATCAATATGGCAATTGAATTGACAATAACTGTGGATGTAAAGCGACTCTGAGGGGTAGCATCTAAAACTATTATGAACAATGAATACTGAAATTCTGTGGAAACTTTTATATCATCGGCGGTTCCTTTCATAAATGAAAGCAAAGAATTGGGAAAATCATAGTACTTGCACTGATAAGTGAGTGCAGGGAATCTGCAGGATGTGATAAAAAGTTGATAGCTGTGAAAGTGCAATCAAAATTCCCTGTTTTATATGTAGGTCTACCTATCACAACCACATCTTGACTTCAATTGCACTGTCACAGCCACCAGCTTGATTTTTTTTATTATATCCTGTGGATATCTCTGATATTTTAGAGGATCTGATCTAATAGATAATCTACTGGATTAAACTAAAGACACTGGCATTCCTTTTCCTTTTTTAAACATATAGGCCCCATGAATCTTTAAGGATCTTTAACTAGGGTGTCCTGCTGGAAAACAGATACATAAAACAACTTTTCCTCTGGCTAATGTCGCATTAAAAATGGCCCTAAGATGCATTATCAAATTTTCATACAATATTACCCTCCATCAGATAGATCAGAATGGAATATCAACTCAACAGGAAAACTATAATGTAGTAGTGAAATGAGATACAAATAACAGAATCTTGCATGTCTTTTACAGGAAAGAAAAGCATTATCAGAAAGATGTTTTACCATGGTGAGTGAGCACAGAGTTTCAGGTGCAAGCAAGTCACTCCTGGGATACAGCAGGGATGAGTAAATGATCGCTTTACAACCAAAGTAGCTATGTGATATTACCCATCACATAAGCCAGTGATGGCGAACCTTTTTTTGCTTATTGGCAATGCCAATCTCACTAGACTATCTTTCATGGAATTGGTTGAAGCAAATTTTAAGTCTGGGATAGATTTCATTACTTTCACAGTTTGCATTCTTGTTTGTACTACAGTAAACTATTACTATTATGTGTGAGATTTTGATCTGGCTTTTGTACTTGAGATTCATATCATCCACTATTGTTTCTTTTTAAAAGCACAGGAAAAATCCACTTAAAGCATTTTTAAAAAAGGAACACAGCAAAAGATATCACAATACAACCACTTGTTAAAGTCAATTTTGGAATGTCCGGGGTGGGGGTGGGGGTGGGGTGGAGATGGGGAAAGAGATAGATGGATAACCTGCAGCAGAAATATCTCACATTCTGGGTGCTGCAACCAAGGTTTTTGCCCACATTTACAAAAATTTCATAAGAAGACAGCAGAGAAGGAGAGAAAAAGGCATTTCCTGCTGACCTTAATGAATGGCCAGAAAATCAAGTTGTCTATTAGGGGGACTATGAAAAGCAACAAAAACGTTTTCCTCTGTCAGTAAAACTACTTTTTGCCCAGCATGTTTGTAGAGTTATCAGAATATTAAAGATGGATCAGAGTGACTGCCATAGTAGAAGAAAAAACAGGAAATCACTTTTGCTGTTCTGTAAAAATAATTATCCATAAGAACAGGTTGATCCCAGATACTTTTCAAATGGTCTTCTTTGCTTCACATATATACTTCTATACATACTAAAAGGAGAGCCAGTTTGATGTAGTGATTAAAGTATCAGGCTAGAAATTGGGAGACTATGAGTACTAATCCTGTGTTAGGCATGAAGCCTGCTGGATGACATTGGGCCAGTCACTCCCACTCAGCGCTATGAAGAAGGCAATGGCAAACCACTTTAGAAATCTCTCCCAAAAAGCTGCAGAGACTAATCCAGGCAATCATCAGAAGTCAATACTGATTGAAGGCATAAACACAAAACAGACCTACTAAGAATCTCCTTAAGGAATTCTCCATAACTCTGGAGCTGTAGGTGTGAACTCTAGTGATTTACAGATTAAGCTTCCACTCTCTCTTCAGTTTCTCAAGATTGACTCAGCATTTCTGGGAAACTAGGGTGCCTATTAAATACCTCTGCAGAATGATCAGGCAGTTTGTGTTGCTACCAGATCATGTGAAGAAAACCAATCATAGGTTAAGGCAGGGGTAGTCAACCTTGGCTCTTTCCTGAGCCAGGAATTCTGGGAGTTGAAGTCCACGAATCATAAAAGAGCCAAGGTTGACTACCCCTGGGTTAAGGTTTAAGTAGAAATTCATGATTAATTGTCTATGGGGATATCACGAGCTTGATTAACCACAAACCATATAATCTTCCTGAAATTTCATGGAAAGAATTGAATTTGTTGAGATTCCATTGCTCTTAAGATGGGACAAGCCCACCATTTTCTTTTTCAGTGATGAAATGGCAGAAGTATAATCAAGTGCCACAAACTCTTGTGGGGACTTTTTTATGTAGGAAGAGATTGCCTAGATAAAGGTTCAGAAAGACCATGATAGACAATTGCAAAAATTCTATGACATATCAGAAAATAATCCTGAGGCCAGGGTCTCTTGTAATCACTTCCAATATATGTAAGCGCTGTACGTGTGAAAAGACAAGGCCTTGTTTGTCCAGTTGGACTAAAAAACATTACTCAGATTTGCCACCAGACTTTCACTTGTAAAAAGATGAATATCTAGAAAACAAGCATTTAGTGGCTTGCTTATGCCTTTCAAAGGTGAACAGTGAGTCAGAGAGAGAGGGCAGAACATTGGAAATGCAAATGGAAGCAAGCAATAGAGCATGAAGGACTCTGTGACATTTCCCTTTTCTATGATGTTGTCTTCATTTGTTGTATTTTAGTGGGTTTTAGCATCATGAAATGGAAAGTTTTCTACTCCGCTAAGGATCTCTTGCAATAGCCCAATCATGCTATCATACTCACTAAAAGCTGCTGCACATTTTGCAGTATTGATCTGCTGTTGAAGCAGACAGTAAACTTCAAGCACACAAACACACCTTCAGGAGCTGAATAAGAAACATGTCTTCTTTCAGAAGAATTCTGGAACACCCCATGTATGTCTAATGATTGCATTCTCAAGTATGAATATGCCCAGGATTGGGCCAGCTGCTTCTTGATAAAATTTACAAAAGTGCATCAGATTTATTATACAGAGATAATCCAATTTGCATTCACTGGATGTATGTGTAACTGCAAAAGCTATTCAGATATGGCAGGTCTTCTTAATATTCTACTTTCTTATATTTTATAATATTTTAATCACAAGAGAAAGCAGTTCCAAAAGCAGAAGCAGACTAAAGAAAAAATTATATTGTTTAAGCATCACAAGTATACTTTGCTAGCTCTACTCAAATAAATACTTTTCACCCATTTCTTACAGAAAGATTGCCTGTTAGAACCTAAAATACAATAAATTTTTGCATGGCAGCATGTCAAGTATTGCAACAGATAATGAGGGATGCCAGCAAGCTGACCATTCATCTCTTTTACCAGTTTTAATATATAATCTCACTGTTCTTATGATACTGTTATTATGTATTGCATTGTTATCTGGATATTTTGTTCTTGGAAGCTATGTTAAGCTGGTGACCTTTGGCTTTAATAAAAAAAATCACCCATTCAGATAATGGGTGGATATTTTGTGCTACAATCTATAATTGTATCTTGTGAAAAACAAGAACAGCACCCTGCT